CCTTCCGGCTCAGGATAATACAGATGCCGAAGATATCGGTAGAGAGCGATCGAGAAGAACAATCCAGCCAGCGATGCAAATACCAGCGATGAAGTGCACGCCGCTTCTCTGAAACATTATTCTATTGACGAATTCTCTTTTTGAATTTTTTTGATGGGATTATTCCTTACCCTTCCATGATTCTATTTTCGATTAAAGGCACGAGTCGGGATTGAATTGATGCGTTATTTTGTTCAAACATTAGGCAAGGGGTGCAATGAGGAACATTAGTGAGGAGAAAAAGCAAAAAGCACCATAGAAAACACTAAATTTCCCTTAGGAGGCCGGCCGTAGTACGACGGAGAGACACAGCGCTGCGAGGAGAGGGAGAACGCGAGATAGTACGTCGCGAGAGGACGCAGAGACCACGTATGCCGTGGATTACGCTGGCAGCGCGGGCAGCGCGGCGGGCAAGGCCTTAGCGCCATTGCCGCGCACTTTTGGGTCGCGATAGTGTCGCGCCCTCAGTGCTTGGGGAGCCCACTATCGCACCCTGGGAAGAACTTCTGCTGGTTGCCTAATCCTGACTCGTGGCTTTGAAAGCAATCTTAAATACAGACAAACAAATAGGGCGGTTTTATTCTAGGCATTGCAAGTGACAAAATCAAACTAAAATGATAAAAAAGGATAAAGCTATCGGCGGTGATCAATCGTTTGAGGGATTTGCCGCGCATTCCACTTTCATTTGTCCTACAAAATGATCTGTGGGGCGGCTCAATGTACAAGGCATTTTCATCCTCTCAGTATGGCCTGGTACCGTATAGCCCACTCCGAAAGGAAGAAAGGTGTGGCATTCGGGGCAGAATTCAACCCTGGTTCGATTGAGAGCATGAGAAGAAGCGCCGGGATGTCACTGCACCATCATCATTGATATGTTTGAACATTATGAATTAAAGACTACGCTACCTGGCCACTGCTAAATCTTCCCACTCGTGATAAGGACACAGCGATTTTTTATGGAATAGTTGCTCGGCGAAAATTTTCATGGCAGCTCGACTCATAGCATAACCGCTTCCGCCGGCGTTGTACCCATGTTGTGGCTGAAAACGGGAGTTAAGAAAAAGAAAGGGTTCAAACCCCGCCAAGTAGAACTTTTCTGTGAAAGCGAGAGTAGAGAGTATTTGTATAGGAAATGTTCTAGGATTGGAGTTTCAAGGGGATTCGATTATTCAAGCGTGTTATTTATCCACCATTCTTCTCTTCAACCTGAATCCAATGTAGTGCGGTTCATTTGGGTCGAACGTCGCCAAATAGGAGCGAAGATTCTCCAGAATCACATACGTATCATCGTCCGATTTGTAGTACCTGAAAAAGACCGAAGAGAATCAATGAAATGTGTGTGATGCATTTATATGCTGCGTGACGCAACCGCGGCCGATGACCTCATACGGCTATTGCGAATTACGTCGTTTGAAATTATATTTTTCGCCATAAACTTTAAAACCAAAATAACAGGTTCGTGAAAATTTACCCGATACGCGGAAAAACTAGTCACACCCGAGTCACAGTGTCCCACGCGGGACGCTAAGTGTGATTCACATATGGAATCACGCTGTTGTAAAAGTGCCAACAGATCCAATTTCACGGAATGAACTCACCAGTCGTAATTTGAAGAGATATTGGTGTACACATAATAGAGGGCTAAACGTGTCTTCCAGAATAATTTGAAATAGCTATCCGGTAATTCTGCAAAAATCGTGTGGTACGGAGTGTACTCGTCCAAAAATCGATCGCTGTTTGTGAGAAAATGCGACGCGTCGCATCGCCGCAGCCATGTCGAATTAACAGGCGCGAACCTGAATTTCCACGGACATCTGCTCATTCTTTAGTCGGATGATTAGGAAGATTTGAAAAAGCACAAGTGTCACATAATAATGGGCTACAACTCGCCCGTGTCTTGTGATAAATTGATGTTGTCATCACCCAGCACAAAATCGATCCAAATCGTCTTTGAGTTAGTGCCGCTTCGGAGATTTTGATGTCACGTAAAGCGTTCTCACCATAGATTCTGAAAGGATAGAAGCATAACTAATCGAATGACCGTTGCTCAATGGTCCTTCTTGGATGCGCCATGCATCCGACATCCTTTAAGAACCTCAGATTCATTTGAGTGAAGTGTGGACCCATGCCGGCAAAACCTCCGACCACTGCGCCATCACACCTGCCTACAGGGTGGGGCATAAATATGGTGACAAAGTTGAGCTATAGAGGCACGGACGGCAGCAGCGAAACTCCTCTTTCGAAAAGTGTGGATTGTGGACGAAGCGGAAATTATGACATTTTCCCTTACCGTTGCTGTGCCCTTCAAAACCGAGGACACAGCAAAGCTGTGTGCTGAGATCAATTATCCACTAACGAATGATTGAATAACTCAGAAATTCTTGCATGGCCTAAGACATGTCACAGTAAAGGAGAAATGAAGCGCAAATAGGCAACCTGTTGAAGAAACTCACTGGATAAACAAAAACAGAACAAAACTAAAATATATGCTATTGGGTTGTCCGGAAAGTTTCCGCCGATTTTGACTCTCAAATTCAAAAGCGCATATCTCGGTTCAAACAAAGCGCCTTTGCTCGAAATAAAAACTATTACAATCCCCATACCTTTGCCTACAAGAAATGAGTTTTGATCCGGATGTTGGAAGTGCTGGAGTTCTGTGAGCTAAGAACTCGGCGAAGGTCGTTTCACCACCATGTTGGGTTTCAATGCTCAATCTCTCTAAGTAGACCTTCCAGATGGTTGGAAAAGTGATAGTTGGTAGGCAATAGGTCTAGTGTGTAAAATGTTTGCAGCACAATTTCGTAGCTCAGCTAGTTCAACTTGGAAGTCCGAGATGGGGTTGTGCAACAGTGGGTAGAAGAGCCGGCGGCACCCAATTTTCGACTTCTTTGGGCTTTTTACCCTCACCGCTATGTTTGGAAATCTTATGTCGGTTACGCCCAATTCAGAAGCAGCCTGTTCAACAGTTTCATGCAGATTTGGTTTGGCCAAAACCCTCAGCTGATCTTTATCAGTCTCCGATATCACTAATCTCCTTCGAAGCTTTCAACATCGCGAGAAAGACATTTTGAATTACGACTGCACAGCGTATTTTTGTGGACTCAGAACCAAATGCTCAGTTGATATCGCAACTTGCTTCCGCACATTTCCGAGCAAGTTTGAGGGGAAACAAGAAACTAGTGCAAAGCAGGCTGTTGAGTATGTTGTATTCAAGACTTCAAAAAAGTGGAAAAGTGATTCAGGGGAAAAAACAGTAGATTTGGATAGAGCGAGGAACGCGCTTTCTAACGATATATAAAGTGTTAGCAGTTTCTTGAAAGTGACCCAGAAATAAAGCATTCAAAAGTGAGCTATAAAAACGGCGGAAACTTTCCGGACAACCCAATATAAATAACAGATAATAAGTCGTATTGAAAATATTGAAAAAAGGGAAAAAATTAGTGTAAAAACATAAAAAAAAATCAATTAAAAGCAAGATCACAAGCATTGTAGATGTATTGTGATTCTGAGATAAAGTTAAATCATCAATGAAGAATCAATCAAATCAAAAAAGCCAATTAGAGGGACTCACTCGAAGCCGCTGTCATCGATGGGTACAAACGATACGAGCTCGATGCCGGTCTTGTACTGAACTTCGTACAGGATATAAAAGAATGTGACCAGAACCCATACGGCAAGCACATACGAGGCCCTAAATCGTCGTACTCGGCGCCAGGGTGCACGAGCGAGTGCAACAGCCTCAAACAGTTGAATCATAACATTTCTTGCAGATAAATAAATAGCCTGTTCAGGTTCAACCTACAGAGCAATGCTGGTACAAGGTCCTGCAACAGCATCAGTCGGATCAAGGTCGAGGTCGCATCCCAATTTCAAAAATGTTACGATT